TGTTTCTTACCTTCTCATTTCTTACCTGTGTCGTAGTGCTGGCCTCCCCATGGCTTTCAGGTTCCCAATGCTCTCTTTCTTCAGGCTGGACTGTCCTTGTGGGTGCCACATGGTTTGGTGGTCCACAGCTTCCCCCGCCCTCATCTTCCCCTCCCCCCAGCGAGCCTAGTTTAAAGCTCGTCACCTCTTGGGCCCTGAGTATCGTCTCCTTAAGGAACAACCACTCATCTTGGGCACTGAGTTCCCCTGCCCTTGAGAACCCCAGTGCCTCTCCCACCAATCTCCTCAACTCCTTGAAGTTGGCCCTCTTGAAGTCTAGGGCTACCGCCTTGCTGCAGGCCCTTGTCACCCTGCACTGGATGATGAATTCCAGCAAGCGATGATCGCTATCACCCAGGTGGTCCAGGACCTGGAGCCCCCTTACCAGATCATTGCCTGTGGCCAGGACCAGGTCCAACAGGGCATTTCCTCTGGTGGGACTGTGCATCTACTGGGTTAAGTGGAGGTCCTGTATCTTGGCCAGGAACCTCCTGGATCGGTCCGACCTGGCTGACTGCTCCTCCCAGCAGATGTCCGGGTAATTTAGATCACCCATGACAACTACATCCCTTGCCTTAAGTGCCTCTGCAAGCTGGCCCGAAAATTCCCGGTCCAGCTCCTCCTCTTGGTTGGGGGAGGAGGCCTGGGCATATCTAGGATTCTGAAAAGAGGGGAACAAATGGTGTGGTAACAACACATATTCTAGAAGCTTTACTAACAAGCTAGGAGCCTACAGCTCTATTATTCAATTTAAGGTTGAAGCAAAAAAACCCTACTTTATCAGAATGTTCATTAATTTGCACAACAAACAATGCAAAACACAACAAACTAGGCAAAAAATAGAAATGCTGCTGTCACTGCCAAGCAGTTGGTTTTAAATTTGTGTGGACCAGGAACTGAAGGGGAATGCAACTGCATATGTATATGGCTATATGCAGATAGATGAGGATTACAGATGTTTAGCAGTACAGTTACTCATTTAAGTGAAAAAAGATGATAATTTTTTTGTGATTTCTTAGTTGGTCTAATAAAAGGTATCATCTCTGTTCTAGAGTTTTGCAGTTCATTTAAAGTGTGCATTTTATGTTAATAATTCTGAAAACCTGGAGTTCTATTACATTATATAGACACATACTATTGAAATTGTGCCTTCCTCATGGACTGGATAATTACATTCAATGCCAGTTTCATTTGTATGGTCAGTGTCACTTCAAGTTCAGTGCAACTGTATTTGTGTTGCAACTTTAGGGAAAAAAATTTAAGAAAACAATGCTCGTTCTGAATTGTCTGCTTCAAGGAAACTTGTCCATTAGCATTAAACCTAATAAATCATTGTTTTTGCAAACCTTGAATGTAGTGCCAAATTGGAGCTGGTACGTCTCTTTAAAGAAGTGTCACTTAGGACATAAACAGGAAAAGTTAATGTGCTAAACCAACGATATTAATAAATATTTCTGTATTGATGCAGGAATTGACTTTTGCTTTCCTTGGGAGTCGCACATATAAACCTACAAAAGGTCAAGGACCTAGGGGCAGTCTGGGCCCCAGAACTGCACTATATAAAATAAAGCATTTATATGTACAAACCAAGACTGGCTTTTGTTTCTTCTGCAATCAAAGAAAATGGTATCACGGTTATTTCCGTGGATGGGAAACCCAACCCAGAGTCCAAAAGTGTTATGCTTATTTCTCCTGTTGCAGCCAAACTTGTTTCTCTTATAAAATTCCGTAAGAAATCTCAGCACTACCTTTGACAATTTGCTATTAATAATCCCTTTGTGGAAACCAATCCTAAGCACTGGATCTATCCAGGGTTTGGGAAAAACCTGATTTCTTCCCTTTTTAAATCCCATGGAATTTGTCCAGGCAGTAAAAAAGTGAATCTGGCTCAGGGATTCCAAGCCATGTGGTGGTTCCAGTTCTATAGCCATGAATCTTAGCCACCCACACTCCTCCTTTAATGCTGCTTCCCACCTAAGTGCATGTTAGAAGGGGCTTAACAAAAGAGCCCTCTAATTGTCTGAAAGTGGTTTCTGGACAGTGCCAATTTCAGACAACAAAAGGACAGGGCAGGGGCTGTTAACTAGCACGCAATAAACTAGGGAAAGGGAAAAAATAGGTAGAGCATTTTATATAGCCATTTCTGTCTCTTCAATTATATAAAAAGCAGACCCCTGATTGACCCTAAGGCCTTGAAGTTGGCTGCGGAGCATTAACTCAAGCAGATCCACACTTGTTACATAGAATCTTCAAAAGAAATAAAAACAGCCTTGACCCGAGCTGCCTCAAGCAAACTGAAAGAGGAAACCAAGCAGTGCTCACAAACAAATATAGATTCACCATTGCTGTTTGCCTCCTGAAAGATCCTGAGAGTCCTTTAGCTTCCACTGCAGTCAATAGCCACTGATGGAACTCAGCACCTGGCAGGATCAGTTGCCAGAATATGTCTCTTTTTTTCATTTTAGCCATTGGTGCACATTACTCATTTCAGCTTTACCATGCATCAGAGCCCTTTATTTTCAACTTTGCCACAGTGTTGGGCTCTTTGTGTGGTCAGTGTAAATCTACCTGCAAACTGTTCACATATAATGAAAAGATCATGTTAGGCAATTTTTTTGGCAGAAGTAATTTATTTATCTAGGAGGAATTGCATCACCATAAACAATTTCCATATAAATCATTTAAGCGTAAATGGCTTTCTAAAGTTTAACTGTAAAACAGGCACAGGCTTTGTAATGTGCACAAGTTTTGGCTGTTAATTTATAGAGCAGACAGCTGTAGCACAAAAATAAATTGTATTGTGTTCAAAGTCATCTACTACGTATTGAAAAGATTTACACACAGACAAATGTGCACATAAAGGGTCTGACCCAAAGCTCACTGGAAGTGCCACTGATTTCAATAGTTTTGAGACCATGCCAAGTAGACACCTGTAGCAAAACATCTAAACTCTTCTACATCTACATCTAAGTTTACAGGCATTATACAAACAATCTGATTTTCCAAGGCTTCGATTTGAGCTATAATTATTTGCACATGTAAAATTCTGGTAATTTCTTCAGGTATGTAACATAGACCTGAGTCTGAATCTCAACCTTTGCCACCAGTACCGTACCATGGGCAGAAACTGTGGTCAGCCATTCCTTGCTCCAGGAGGGGGAAAATGCCCCACTGATTTTCAGCAGTGAACTCATGGCCATTGCCCCTGCACCATGTCCTACCACTGTTGCTCTGCTCCCCACTGCCCCTGAAGCCACTGCAGGGAAGGTGCAGGGGATGAGGGATGGGAGTGTGAGGCATGCCCCTAGCTCCACTCCAGCATCTCCACTTTAGGCAGTGCTAGGGCTCGTGCCCCACTCATTTACCTGTTGTTTGCCACTCAGTCAGATATCACTTAGGGCATGAACAATGTTTATGAACAATATTCCCATGGCTAAATGCTACCCTTGTACACACACATCAAGTTGCTTGCTGGCTAAAGTCGGGCATCAGGAAATACGTGTGCCAACATTAAAATCTGACCTTAATTTCTTAGGTTACTTTAGTGCAGGGTGTCAAGGATCTGGCCCATGAGCCCTCTCATCTGGCCCCTGGTGCTGCCCATGGGTTTTGGAGTCGACCCACAGGCAGTATGTGAGTCCTGGAGCAGGACCATGCTGTATGTGGCATCCATTCCACCCACTCCAAGAAACATGCTGAATCCTGTATGCAGGGTTGGTCTGTGGGTCTGATCTGGCCAGTCGATTTGAACCTTTTTATTTTTGAAAAATGAAATGCTGTCAGCTTGGTGTTTATTTCAGGTCATCTGTTGGAAGCATAAAGAAGGAGAGAAGTTTCATTTTTTTTTTTGGTAAAAATCATTTTCTCATTCTTTGTTATGGTGATAAGACAGATTTTAGTCTGTACTTACCTAATAAAGGTTTTGCTTGAGAAACTATATACATTTGTTCTTGTCAGAAAGTTTTAGAAACAAGTATTCTTGGCTTTTAATGGACCTGAACTTACACTCCACATGTAAGCAAAATTCCCATTAAAGTTACATTCTCCAAAGGAGCTTAATGAGATTGTTGCCTGCATTAAGAGCCTCTGTAGGCTTCTGTTGACTGAAGACTGCTTTTACTCTCATATAAATCCTCTACATTATGTCTGTTCGCAGTTCTCTACATGACAGATATGTAGAGACACAAACATTGCTTTTCTAGAGAGAGAGGAGAGACAAACAAAATACTGGACTGAAACTCCCATGCCCAGAACTTTGGGAAACATTGAGTCTAGGTTCAAGTGTATAATATATCATGGTTCATGACTTGGGTGTCAGTCTGTAAGGGGACAAACTGGAATGATGAATTGGAACACATTGAACTTTGGGGAATCTGGATTCAGATCTGATGCGTTACATCTGTTATAGGTAACTGGAAATGGGGTCCAAGTTGCCAGCTATTCTTCGGTAAATAGAAGCCTACATAATCTTTTATACAGGCAAAAATCTCATTAACTTCTCTTAGGGGAAGTCTTTGTGCTTACACAGTTTGAACTTTGCTGTGGTTAGGGACCTAAAATCATTGCTTTAAAGGAAAAATGCCAACTACAGTTTATACTTGCGATTAGATCAATATCATTTTGCTGATGATTTACAGAGCAGTCCAATCTGGATAATATTCTCAAAGTCAGAATCAAGAATTAGTTTCTCATTTTATTCAAATGATCTGGTAATCTAATTTTTACTTAGCCCATGACTGTGCTGCAGTTGTCTACTCAGGCTAGGTTACAGACATTCAAAAAGCCTGAGGCAGAAGTAATTTAAGTTATGTGTTTTTCTGTAAGTGGTATAGTTTGAATCAGTAGCGAGCAGAACATACATTCCCCCGCGGTGGAGAGGGGGAAAGAAGGAGGACAAATCTTAAACTGGACTCTGCCATTTTAAGTCAGACTATGTGCGCCAAACTTCTGTTAAGAGTATACACCAGTTTCCAATATCTTATACTGGTAAAGGTGTAATGTCTGTACCTGGCCTCAGCAATTCTCACTGGCTCAGCTGGTGTCTCCTTAGCATCTACGTACCTTCATATGGACATTTTTAATTGGAGAATGATCCGCTTTCACTATCCAGAGACAACATCAAGTTGGCCATGCTCTTGCAACAATGTTCTCTGTTCTTGTCAATATTCTTAGTCCTTGAGGCATATCTGATGTAGTACTGCACACACTTGAGCAACCTTGTGACAAGCAAGAAGATGCTTTAATTTACTTCTTAAATCTGCAAACATGTTGACCGTGGTGTAAAGTGGAAATAGTCCATAATTTTTCAGAAATAGGACTGGTTGCAGCTATTAGGTATGCCCGTTTCACTACATGCTTTGGAGAACAAAAAGATGTGAGGGGGTTCAGTCATTAATTTGATCCTGAGAGACAGATTATCAGTGAGGCAAGCACCAGATTTGCTTGTCCAGGTATAGGACATCTGCCTGGCTTCCTCCTGCTCCCCCCACTCCCACACTCCCTGCTCAAGCAGGGATTCCCCCCTCCCCTCTGCCTTACACAGACACCTCTCAGCATTAGCTAACAGACCACATGCTAGCTACGGTCCATGCTGTGGGAGACAAGGCAGACAGGACAGTGACACTCAAGGCTTTTTGGCGCTAATTGTTCCTTCTTTGGAACAAGTTGTTTAAGAAGAACTTGAACTAACTAGAGATCCTTTTGTTTTGCTGATGGAGTGATAAATGCTCCCTGCTGCGTAACAAAATCCCTGCTGGCTCCCTTGCTGACCATCGAGGTAGGGTGGGAGGGGAATCCCTCCCCAGTCAGAGCATCCTGCCTGGGACTGGCCATGCCCCACCTCAGCTTAGCCCTGTGGAAGGGAAGGGAGGGTTGTTTTAGCACCCTCTGGCTTTTAGCCTGAGCCACTGCAGGCATGTGCCTGCATTTTTTCAGTCCAGATGGGATGTATGTACTGTTACAAACTGTTTCAGCCTAGGCAGGTTAGATTAACCTGCAAAGATTGAATCAATTCAGGCTCAGGCTTTTTGAATGTCTGTCCTTAGCCTAAAGGGAAAAATATGAGGAATCATCTAAGGGGCAACGGAAGCTGTGGATGCAACAGAACTGGTGGTGTTCAAGAGTCCCTGCTCCCCATGCACTGCAGGGTAGCTTGTTATTCAGGGCAGGGCTGACCGATCTGCCACTGGGTGGAATCTCTTCCCCAAGACACAGATTGTACATTAGCTATGACAGATCTTGCAGGCTTCAAGGTGTGCTTGCAGCTGCAAAATGCACCCAATTTTCCTGGTTGCAGAACTAGATTCCTTCTTTTTGTCCCCTACAGAAGCCCTGAGCACAAAGTCAGTTTGCTTAGGCTAAGCATGTAAAGAGGCACCCGGCCTAAACTTCATTCTGATTTCAAGTCCAATTCAATTGCTTAGTAAGAGCATACAACCCTGGCTTGGTAAGGTCAAATTCTCTTTGCTCAGTATGATGCAGCAGCCTCACCTGGTGATCTCCATGGTGTCTTGAGTAACCTTGAGCTTTCAGCAACACGCTATTGTCAATACCCCTAATGCCAGTCTATTAATTATAAAATGTATTGTTTATTCTGACAGCATCTTTCTTGTACATTGGAATTCAGGTACCATATTCCCCCATCCTGTAGTTTTACAGTTCCATAGTTGTTAGGGACTAGAAGGGACCTTACAGATCATCAACTCCAGCCCCACCTGCACTTGGGCAGGAAAGACTTCTGGGATCAGATGAGCCCAGCAAGATGGGCATCAAGACATCTTTTGAAGATCACCAGGGTGGATGACTGTACCACCTCTGGGGACAGCCTGTTCCAAACACTCGGCATGCCTGTTCCAAACCCTCGGCGCTCGACTTGTAGAGAAGTTTTTCCTTATATCTAGCCTGAAGCGATCTTTAATTAGTTTGTGCCCATTATTTCTTGTCCTCCCCTGGGGATCCTTGGGAAATAGATGCTCCCCCAAGCCCTGATGTACACCCTGATATACTTATAGACTGCCGCCAAGTCCCCCATGAGTCTTTTCTTTTCCAGGCTGAACAATCCTAAGTCCCTCAGCCTCCCCTCATATGTCTTGGTCTCCAGGCCTCTAATCATGCATGTGGCCCTCCTTTGGACTCTCTCAAGCTTCTCCACATCCTTCTTGAAGTGCAGTGCCCAGAACTGGATGCAGTACTCCAGTTGCAGTCTCACCAAGGCGGAGTCGAGTGGGCGGATAACATTTTTTGCCTTGCTTGAGATGCATGCCAGTGTTTGATTAGCTTCCACTCCTATTACCTTCTCTTTCATTAAGAAGCAGTAATTTGGGTGGGGACAAACATGTATTTGGAGTGCCTTCAAAAGGTGAGGGGAAGCTGCTGTTTGGGAGTGGGCAGTTACTCTCTACCTGTTACATCTCCATGAGCCTCTGACAAAGCAAGTGAGCTAATTTGCTTGGGCTTTAAGGCTGCTTCATGCAAGGTGGAAGTGGGAGTGATTTTGCTACACTTGTACAGCTACAAGCTCATCAACGGGTACAGCTACAGAATAACTAACTGATGCAGTGTCCAAGCAGCAGATTCTTCTCCCCTATAAAGCCCTCCTATAAAGCCACTATAAATGAAAGTTTGCCCATAGTCTAATTTACCACCAGCAGTAATTTAACACACATTTCCAATATGCAGATAGCAGCTGACATTCACAGCTGAATGAAAAAGAAAATGATCCACCAACTGAATGTTCAGCTTTCCTATTGTGGTGTACACATTTTTAGCATCCCATTCTTCTCAAAAGCCATGAATCAGTTCTTGCCTACTTTTAACATCCACCATTTCACCTGGACACAGATCAGTGGACTGAAATATGAAGTTAACAAGGTATTAATCTTTCTAACATAACATCAACATGGGCAAAGATAAATGTTGTTGGTAATACGTAGGTATTCTGTCTAAAGTAAAGAGAGGGATCAAATGTTTGTTCTTTTTGGGAATTCCTAGTGAATAAGAAAAAAGGGAAGTAATATTACCCCTATACATACCATGGGTGAGAAAACCACTGGAACACCATGCCTAAAGTAAAATTAGGAAGGATTCAGAGATGAGCTACAAGACAGGTGATTCTGCTCTACAATGAGAAAGATGGAAAGAGCTTGATCTATTTAGTTTATCAGACCACAGCTTGAGACGTGACTGAAACTCTACCTTTAAACATAGACACAGGGAGAGGAGATCTGATACACAACAAAGGCAACACAATATCTAATGGCTGGACATACAGTTAAAGAAATTCAAACTGGGAAGAAGATGCAACTTTTTACCGGTAAGTAAGTCTGTGCAAGTTATCAAGGGAGGCAGGGAATTAGCTCTTGCTTAAAGTCTTTATATTAAGAATAGGAGCTTTTCTAAAAAATGTAGACTGTAGTTCAGGTACAAGTTAATGGTCTCCATGGTGCTCATTTCATCCTGGAAAAGAATAGATTCTCTTAGGCTAGGGACAGAAATTACACAGTATAAGTGATTGGAAACCAGTTTCAAATCCATAACACAACAAAAATTCAGTGCATGTAAACCACTTTCAAAATGGCTGAAACTGACTTAAGATAAGCCTTGATGGATGTAATATCAGACTTAACTGATTTTGGTTAAATTGGTTTATTGAACTTCTGTCCCAGGTCCCCTCCAGATTTAAGTTAACTCCCAGACCTCCAGCATTCCAGGATGCTTTGCATCTCCCCTGCAAACCCCCTCCTCACAGGGTGGGCTGGCTAGCCTTGGCCCAAGCTGTCTGCTTTGCGGTCAGGATAGCACAGGATTCTGTTGTGGGCAGACTGAATTGGTTCTTGTGGTGACCAGATCTCCTTCCAAATCTGCATATCCAGACTCAGGTTAACCAGGCAGAACCAGCAAAGCATGTGTTACAATGTGCCAGGATGTTGAGAGGCTCACATGGGTATGACATGGAAACAGGTCTGATTTCACTTGAAAAATGGCTTTATTTCCTTTCATAATTAGGCACATCCTGTACTTGGATGTGGACTGTTTCCTTTCCAACCAGTAACATTCTCTTTTATTTGCTGACAAGTGCAAGTTTCCATTGCTTTAGAAGAGACTGGTAAGAAGGCTGACAAGCTGGCTTGTTTCCTTATCTCCCATTTAATTTCCATGGGCTGCTCAATCTTTAGCAGTGTTTAGAGCTGAAGTAAGTCTCCCTTTGCTGGGACTAGATTTTTATTGTGGTCCCCCAAAGAACTGAACCGCAGACAGAATCAAACCAGCAAATGGCAGAGACAACAATCTCAAGTGATTACACCCTAAAAAATGTCAGTTGCAAAACATGACATAACTGTGATTCCACAAATTACAGATAAATGCAGAGGCAGAAAAATCAAGAGGAGAAACACACTGTCTTTTATATGGAAAAACCCCAAACCAAATTACCAAATTACCCAGATCAATTCCAGACATTTACACAAACAAATGAGCTGCTGCTTTTTGCACTTAGTCTCATGAGAAACATGATTGGGGTAATAAAAGCTGATCAGAAAACTGGATATTAAAATGTGTGTGGTTTTAAAGGGTATAGGTTGTAGACATGTTGGTCTGAGGACATAGGCAGACAAGGTTCTTTGGGTAAATCTGATATCTTTTATTAGATCAACTCAGATAGCTGGAAAAAAATTTCTTTGCAAGCTTTTGGGTACAAATACCCTTCATCAAGCTAAGGAAGCATCTACAGTCGGTCTGTGCTCTTCTTGTGGAGTTTTAAAAGCTCAGCTATGTCCCTGTTTAGCAAAATTAACAAAACTAAGTCCTGACCTTGTCCCTTAAAGTGCAATGTGTCTGGGCCCTCCTCCCAGCACACAAGTACTCTGCCAGCACAGAACCAAAGGCCCTGAAGGGTGCACAGGGCATGAAGGATGGAACGGTGAGAAGGTAACTTCCTTCGACCCTAATGCTCTGCTCCTCCAACTAGTAACTGCAGTGCATGCTGCTCTCTGTGCCTTGCACAGGGGGTACAAGTAACTGGCGCCTGCTCAGGGTCCCTCTACTGATTGCATTACTCTTTATGGTGGCAGCCCACTGGAAAGTGTGTTAGCTCACCAGACCCCTTCTGCATGTTCAAGAGACCAGTAAAGTTTTGCTCTTTGCAACGGCAGGAGCTGGTTAGCAATGGGGGAGATGGTTAGCCAAGTACTCTTACCTCCACCCTGCAGTGTAATCCATC